GTTTTTCTTGCACGTTTTCCATAAAATATATTTGAATTTATAAAAGCAGTCAAATTTAATGATAAAAACGCATACTATTTAATCAGTTACTTTTTACAGTACATACGTTTTGTTAATGGTCAGAACGAAGCTCGTTAAAAAGCCCGCATCCTATCAGGACTGAAATAACTTCAGAAAAGACTACACGATAATCAGTATGACAACCTGAGTCAATTCCGATTAGCGAAAGAGTATCAATCTTTCGCATATGCCGGCATGTTGCAGGAATTCTGGCGCGTACTATATATTGCAGGCATCATATTTCACAGTATATTACCACAAATGCCTCAAATGGCAACATTTTTACGTCCTATTATGGAAAATGGGAGTATGCGAGAGAGCGATTAGCTCAGAGAGGAGATTTGCTGTGTTTTTTTTCGTGAAACGAGAATATTAGCATAGCTGAGACATGAAAAACTGCAACAAGGTGGCCAGGATGAAACTCACCTTTTTGAGGGAGCTGCGACGTGGCTTGAACGACAAAAATGAGACGAACATCAGAAAAAAAGTCATTTGACAATGGAAGCTTGTATGATTTCGAAACGTCAGGACGATAAACCTTTGGTTCCCGTGATCGCCTTACTTTCTCATATATATTTACCATATTTCGCAGTATCTTAATGCTTCAAATGACAATATTACGAGCTCTGTTACTTTTTACGCCCTATAATGGAAAATGAGGCTTATGCGAGAGCGAGCGACTGGCTCAGAGAAGAGATTTACTGTTTTTTTTTCATGAAATGAGAATGCTAGCATAGCTCAGACACGAAAAACTGCAACAAGGTGACCAGGATGAAACTCACCTTTTTCAGGGAGCTGCGACGTGCCTTGAACGACAAAAATGAGATGAACATCAGAAAAAAAGTCGAGGAAGGCAACAGAGAAAGCGACAATATCAAAGTGATTCAAATAAAAAGTTCACTTCAAAGACTCGCAAGAGAAAAGGACCTATTTCCTTTGCCTTGAAAGCATTCTAATGAGGACACAAGAAGCCGTGATTGTTTCAACTCACGAAAACGGAACCACGATGACTATTCAACAATGGTGCTGGACACGCCATCATAATAAGCGCTAAATAAATCACCGTACTGACAACAGCGTAAGCAGTAAGTTGATGCCTAAACAGACTGCCAGGGTGCCTAAAGGCTGT